CATTAACCTTTCACGAAGGATAATATAATATGCTCTTATGAAGACAGTTCATTACTACACTGAGTTTAAAGACCTGTTCGAAGAGAAATAACTCTGTCATTTTTGCAACAATTTCAACAAAAACTTTGATAGAATAAAGTTCAACCAAAGGGACATCAAATTTGTCAAAATAAAGAAACTCGCTCTGGTATTCAAGAAATATAAACTGTTAAAGTTTTCAACTAAAGATTGAGTAAATTGAAAAAAAAATAGATCTAATTTCTGTTGAAACTGACGTTGCCAAATAAACTCAGGGAAAGCGGTTGCTATTTAAAATAAATTAATTATTGTGATGCTCCATGTGTTGACCATATTTCTCTCCAGACAAGCTCGAATACGTTGCTGGAAATTAGGAGTAACTGTGGCATGTTTCTGGGACGATTCGCTGGAACTCTTGCTCAGCATTCATTTGTATGTGGTTATTTCCGTAGACTTTTGTCTTTCAAAAACCACCATAGGAAAACATAACTCTTTGAATGGGTCTTTTGTTTTGAAACACCGTCAATGGCAATGTCAGTTTTAAATAAACATAGAACTCCCTTCCACCCACCCACCCCCTCCTGCTAAAAACAATAATAGCAAACAAACAAACAGACAAACAAGCAAACAAACAAACGAACGCAATCCAAAGCAAAAAAATAATCCACTATGGTGACACCCCCTAACAAAAAAATACTACCAAAAAGAAAATCAAAACGGCATGAATCTCCCCCTACAAACCAAACCAAACAAACAATCAAATCCCCCCCCCCCTCCAACACACACACACCACCACCACACAAAAACAACTGAAACATTTTATTATCATATCTATTGAGAAAACGTACCAGTTGAAAAAGATGACAAGGGACCTAATCAAAAGCACCGGGGTGGTGAACATGTGCCAGATTCTCTCCCCTTCTCCTTCCACTTCCAGCTCGTCCAGTCGTAGGGCCTTCTTGCTGAGCTCCACGCCGTTTCCTTTCGCAGCTTTCTTGATCACAATCTCGGCTTCTTTCAGCTTGCCCTTGTTGATCAGCCAGCGAGGGGACTCTGGTAGCAGCCTGAGGGCAGAGATTTCTATTTGTAGGTTGTTGTTTTGTTTTTTGTTTTTTGGGGGAGTTCATTTT